AATAAAATAAAGAAGATTCTCAACAAAGGCCATGACTAGATCTGAATTTCATTCAGATGTTAAATGGGCAACTCAAACTACTAATTTGACCAAAAATATTTCAGTGAGAAAAATAGCTTCCACCACCCTCATTTTACATGTATCATTTTACTTGAAGAATATAGCTATATATGCCTAACCTGTGCCATTTAAAGAAAACTATTTAAACATTTTATTACAGGTTTTAAATGAGAAGAAACTTCAAGAGGTTGATAGTTTGTGGAAAGAATTTGAAACTCCAGAGAAAGCAAATAAAATGTAAGTTATCTTGAAACTAAGAATTTAGCATTTAACATTTAAGGTTTGTTTTGTTTTTTCCATTTTCCTCCCATTCATATAATGTTATGTTCATAGTTTTCTGTTTCGAAATCTGTTTCAGGAATAATTTTGGTATGAACCTAATTATTACAGATGTTTTATTTGGAATTAGAACAATAGGCCATCTCAACTAATTTGTAATAGTTGCAGACTAGATTGGACAGCACCCCAAAATTACTATTTTATAGGATATTTGGGAGCACAAATTGGTTATGAATTAAGTATGGTAGTTTCCCCCACCCCATCGGAGGGGGTTATGTTCTAGGACCTCCCAGTGGATGCCTGAAACCTTGAATAGTACTGAACCTGATTGCTGTTGGTCAGAACACGTTTCTGTTCATGTCTTCCACCCACAAATTTAATGCTTTTTCCATCTTAAGTAAGCACTTAATCATCACTGTAGCTGTAACTTGCAGTTCGAGGTGCAACAGAAAAACTAGCAGGAATTTCTTTTTCTTTCACAATTTCACAGATGATTCATTCTTACTGTAGATCTTAGCAACTTCAACTTCAGCATGTGAGGTTTTTTTCTTTCCTTATTAAGTTGAGACCTGTCACCTTTTCACTTAAAGGAAGCACTTTATAGCTTCTCTTTGGTTTATGTGAATTGCCACCATTACTATTCTTGCATTTTGCAGCCATTATTAAGTAAAATAAGGGTTATTGAAAATAAGCACAGCGATATCTCAACAGTAGATCTGGTAAACAGAGACAGCTACTAGGTGACTAATAGGCAGGGCGTGTATACAGCATGGATACAGTGGACAAAGGGATGAGTCACATCCCGGGCGCATGAGATTTCATTACGCTACTCAAAATGGCACACAATTTAAAACTAAAATTATTTGTGAAAATTTTCATTTAACATTTTTGGGGCCTTTTCTGACCAAGTGGTAAATGAAACTGTGGAAAATGAAACCACAGATAAAGGGGGACTACTGTATAAATTTCTGTTAAAAGTAATAATTGTCTAAAACATGGAATGCTGGATAATTTAACTTTTGTTTCTCTGAGTTAATAATATTCAAATGTTTTTTAACTTAAGTCACAATTTATTTATTCTCTGTGACTTGTACTTCTTAGCTTCCTAGGGTATAATAAAATAACTAGTAAATCCTAGAAAGGTATAACTGAGTTCCTCGAGATCTCTTGATGAGAAAATAGATACAGTATAACTTTGATGTCTAACTTAAGGAATGAGTGGTGGGAAAGAGAACTGGCCTTTCCTCAAGATAGAGTCAAGATGGCTGTTTTACCATCTGTGAATCACCTTGTGAAATATAGCCCATTTGGTGAATTTGGCCCTGGGAAGGACCTGACTTGATCCTTCTGATACTTTTGGATTTGGAGGGATCTATTTATGATTATGAATGACATAAGGTATTTGATAATTCAGCTGCTATTGCAAGTAAAAACACAAAAGAGTCAAAGGGAACTTCTTAAGCTTGCTAAAGAGTGTGAAACCCAAAGAAATGGCATACTAAACAATTAATAGAAACAAAATACAGAGTTGTAGCATTTGTAGTGTTAAAAGTCCAAAATTTGAGAGAGCTTACATGTCTATCAGCAGTGGAATTGTTGAATAAATTATAGTATATCTATAGATCTCTTGGTGGCCTTATAGAAAGGCCCACGATACACTGAGAAAACCAAGCCTCAAGGTAATTTAATGTGTTCCCATTTTCGCGTGTCTTTGCATATCTATATGTGCATTTATACAGGTATAGAGAGATATGAACAAATAACCATTTTAGAAGAGTGAAAATAGAATAAGGTTAGTGCAGAATAAAATGAAAGTATTTACTTTTTTCTTAAATCTTTGTATTTTTAAGTGTGCATTTAAGGGACCACCAGCATGTTCCCTTAACAGATAAGAAAACCTTGCTTAAGATGACACTGTTCTAGGCAAATAGAAGACTAGCTTTCCTTTTTCTTTTTTTTTCCTGAGACAGAGTCTCGCTCTGTTGCCCAGGCTAGAGTGCCGTAGCATCAGCCTGGCTCACAGCAACCTCAAACTCCTGAGCTCAAGCAATCCTTCTGCCTCAGCCTCCCAAGTAGCTGGGACTACAGGCATGCGCCACCATGCCCGGCTACATTTTTCTATACATTTTTAGTTGTCCAGCTAATTTCTTTCTATTTTTAGTAGAGACGGGGTCTCACTCTTGCTCAGGCTGGTCTAGAACTCCTGACCTTGAGCGATCCTCCTGCTTCAGCCTCCCAGAGTGCTAGGATTATAGGCGTGAGCCACCACTCCCAGCCTAGTTTTCCTTTTTAAAAGGTTATGTTTTTTTTGCTGGATTAATCTGATTCATTGTTGTCAATGATGTATTCTTGTTGGAATTGAATCTAAGTGATCTAACTCCAATATTCGTCACTACCACTGAGACAACAATGACTGAACTACAGGTGCGTTTCTTTATATAAGATGTTATCCTGCACATAAGTGTGGTCAAAGGGGGGTCAAATAATGGTAAGAGGAAGCAGGTGTGACAATAAGCTATTTTTTTAATGGCATTTGTACTGGGTAGACAAATGAATGTCATGAGATTCTTGACCTAAAGGGGGCTCAAGTACTTCTTGGGTCAATTCTGTGCTGTGTAGTAAAAGTCATCTCTGTCCAGCTGTAAGCAGCAATGGTTATACTGAAGCTTCAATATGTTTACTATTGGCGTAAGTTCCTTCAAATCCTCCTACTGTAGTCCAAGCATTACTAGCCCAATGTTTAGAAAAAAACTAGTCGTTTTATGAAGAATATCTAACTTTGCACCCTGATGCCCAATGACAGGTAAGTTCTTCTATTGGTGTGTGCTTTGGAGAACAGTCCAACACTTCTTTCACAGCTGTGTGGATTTTGCAGAACCATGTGCCCCCATAACATGTTTTCTTTTTTTACATTCTAGAGTAAAGCTTAAACATTTTGAGAAATTTCAGGATACAGCAGAAGCATTAGCAGGTAAAGTTAAATACTAGAAGGAAACTTGCTTTTTTTTTTTTTTTTTTTAA